TATATATATACATATATCTCTTTTGTTTTAACACTTTAAACTGCTTTAAACTCATAATTTGTGAAAGATACCCTTTATCCAGTTTACAGCGGAAAGGACATAGTCAATTTCACACATGACGTTATCCATTAGCTGATGACGTCGGAACGAGAGGATATAGGCACAATGGTTATTGTCTAGGATTACAACGCTTCCAATTTAGATCCGAAATTAACTGTTACACATTACAATCAGAGTACATCTGGAAAATGTGTGATGGAAGAGCATTTTTAGAAATTTCGCGTAAAATTCTCTGTCGGTGTTTTCAATGCCACAAGACAAACAATAAAAATTAACATAGCATTAAGGACAAAAGATATAGAGAGAGAATTCCGAAGAAAACATACATCTCATTCGATTAAACCCAGGGAACAAATTCGATCATAATATATACATTTAATTATATGAAATGTACCTTTTAGTATATGGAATATATTCTAACAACAAAACCATTTTAAGAATTGAAAATCTACGAATTTAAAAGCTAAACCTTCAAAGTTACAATATCATTTATTAATATGGAATCTTTCTAATCCTTCCGTACTGGGAAAATAGACAAAACACTGTATGAAAATATAGTACAAATGATCTACCGTAGAAATATTTATATGTTAACCTTTATGATTTTAGATAACATACAAATTATAGTACATCTGTTTTTCATAAGATAATACAAGTGTCCTAATTAGACATAGAATCTCTATAAACTTAATAGACACAACAAAGTACACCCCCATGTAAAGAAATGGGGGCAATTTTCACGGTGACGTACCGTTATTTTGAATATTACAGTGCTCAATGACAATTGTACACGTTCAATCCTTAGGACGACATTGATTGTCTAATTATTTATCTCTCACGTTTATCTTTTACAGATAAATGATATATTATACAATATCTATGAACGACATCTCTACCATAGATAAAATTTTGATTTGTGTGGTGTACTGGGTAAGTGAGTGAACCGAGAAATAGCGCGTGTGCAGTGACGTAGAGTGTTTCTGTAGATCTAAACCAGTCGGCTTGTATCATGAATGTTTATTCCTATTACTCAGCTAAATTTGGAAATAAAATTTGCAGAATCATTTGACTACCGGGTATTGACAAAACCGTAATCAAGAAACAACAGTCACGCATGGTTGAGGAGACTTTTTGTATCCTCGAGCATTACATTGGCACTGGTTTAATGTAGCATAAACATGACCAGCTCTTACCAATATAAACTGTGTACAATTTTCCAGAGATTATTTGAATTCTAGAGTTAATCAAAACAGGTCATGGTTACGTTAAATATCGTTAGTCTGGCCAGCAATAGTCGGTACCAGCCGTGTTCGTGTCAGCTAGGTGTTGTCAGTTTTAGGGGGCATTACATCAGAAAAAAGACTTTGATTCACTCTAGAAGGTAACTTTAGTGAATATCGTATCTACCACATAGGCAATAGACTTGGTGTAACTAATGGTAGTCTGTGATAACTGGAACTTTAAACTGCATGCACCCAATTCAATCAGTGATTGATACATATTTATCACGCCCCCTGATAAGTCATGCCGAAAACATGGACATTTAATACAGATAAAATATATTAAATGTTGATGGTCACACCCTTACAAATGCTCAGAATTTGAAGAAAAAATTCTAGTTCGGCAGATAGGACGTTTGGAATTCTCCATTTTTATTTTGAACCTACATAACTTTTACGGTATAAACCATGTTTCTGGTCAGAGATATCATAAGATAGGTAATCATTTTTTTGTTGAAATTAGTTATAACAATACCAAAACACTGTTAAGCATATCATCAATTAACTTGTATCACTGATATATTTTACAGCCAAAACACACTTTTTTATATAAAATTACAATCTAGATATGTCAACTGTTTTCTGACTACGTCCTCGGTCTAAATGATCTTGTCCGAGGTTGATAAATCAAGGTGTCGGCTTCGGCCAAAGGCCAAAATTGAATGCAATTTTTATTTTAGTGCGTGTCACAACATCAATGTCGTTTAATATCACATATAAGAACGTAGTTTCAAGTTGTACTGATTTTAATTTTAATGCACCAATTTATATTACACAATTAAAGAAGAGGTGAAAAGAAACCTGAAACCAAACTGTTACTCTATAAATGTATCTCTGACCTAGCGGAACAATTCAAAAATCTCCTTACTATTACAGATATCCATACCATGATCGTTATGATCAATTTTTTTTATATCAATTCCAATTTTGAATATCAAATTGTTGTGTAATTCCTAATCTTCGAATTTCGGTCTAATTTACAATAGTATAGCATACAACCTTAATGTATAACTTTGAGTTACGTTTTGTTGATAAACATGTTTGATTCATGCTATATACAACAAAAGCTCAATTATCCTGAAACCTGTGCGTGATGGTATACAAATGCTGTATCTTACGAACATTTTGTGCAGATAATTCACACATAAGAGAGAGCTCAATAAAGTTTTCCCTGTTTTATGTAGCCGTGTGCATGTGGGGAGGTGGTAAAGCGATAAAAACGGCGAAGTACAGCAGCGATAATTTTAACAAAATAATTTATATATATTATGAAGTCCCAGATGAAACAATCTGAAAAGCTGTCTGTCTGTTCTAAAAGCACATGTAATATCCCTGATTGGCAGGACAAGCACTTGCAAATGACACGTCAAATTGGATTGTTGGCCGAAATTATGTAATTCATCTTACGGTATGTGATGTTTAAATGTCTATTTGGACAAAAATACCGCACACCACCTGTACGTAAAGGATTTCTTCACTAACTGTTGTTATCAAATAGATCTCTAAATACCAACAGTTCTGACAAGGCTAGACATTTTTTCACGTCATCACACAAACCTGCACTACATTAGGAAATGTTGACATCCATCTCCATAATGAGAAGTGGATGTGAGTAGGTACACTGTTATCAATCTAACAATCACTTTTACAATTCTGTCTCTCATCTGATCGCCTTTCTGGTCTATACACAATGACTTGACAGTCACATACATAAAAGACCATCTGCGACACATTTTAAAAGTACTTAAAATAACCCACTTACATTTGCGGACTTATTGAATCTAGGCATTTATCTGAAGTATCAAATTACCTTTGAAAAATATAAAGTATCTTAAAACAAAACTCCCTGCATCATTTGTTGATATATCTGGTATTCCACTGAACAAGATTTGTTCTAAAACAATACTATGGTTGATTTTCTTGTTTAAGTTACTGCTATGAAGCATGACTATATATGATAATTATCGCATCAATACGTTTTTACAGAACCAGTATTTGACCCCGAAGAACAGGTACAGTGAACAACGATGATGCATCGGGTTTTAATTCATATTATACCAATGATTGAAATGAAATCAAGTCGGTGTGATTTGTCGTCAAGAGCTCGGATGACTGAGCGAGAGGGTCCCTTAACAATGGTCCTCATCATCCTCTAACCACGGGGGTCGGTATTAATGTAGGCTAAACTGATCAGATTCCACAGTGTTAGAGTCGCCGGACGTTCTCATCAAACAACATATCGAGTTGCAAATACGATATATAGTGATGTACCATATAAGAGAGTTATTAACGCATCGATGGAGAGGTCATCCGACCAGGCCCTAACACATTCTAAGGAGACGTTGTACTCGACAAGGCCCTAACACATTCCAAGGAGACGTTGTACCCGAAAAGGCCCTAACACATTCATAGGAGACATTGTACCCGACCAGGCCCTAACACATTCTAAGGAGACGTTGTACTCGACAAGGCCCTAACACATTCCAAGGAGACGTTGTACCCGAAAAGGCCCTAACACATTCATAGGAGACATTGTACCCGACCAGGCCCTAACACATTCTAATGAGACGCTGTACCCGACCAGACATTAACACATTCCAAGGAGACGTTGTACCCAACAAGGCCCTAGCACATTCAAAGGGGACGTTGTACCCAACCAGGCCCTAGCACATTCTAAGGAGACGCTGTACCCGACCAGGCATTAACACATTCTAAGGAGACATTGTACCCGACTAGGCCCTAGCACATTCAAAGGAGACCTTGTACCAGACTCGGTATTAACACATTCTAAGGAGACGCTGTACCCGACTAGGCATTGACACATTCAAAGGAGACGTTGTACACGACTAGGAGAGAGAAAAATACTGAAAACATAGTCGTAACAAGAAGATTCTAATTCGACCAAGGCATTGAATGTTTTTCTAACGAAAATGAAAACATGAAAGTCCAGTATTCCAAGCATTCTTGTAAATGTTCTCATATAACGTACACAAAACAATAAAACTGCACCTATTCTCCTATCTATATGAATATGATAAAAATTGGCAGACGTAGAAAGACATTTGGATTTGTTTTTGAGGAAATGGATGAGGCCACTACCAGGCACAAACTCTATACTGTACCTATTTGGCACAGTGACGGATTTTGTCGTACGCATTGTCTGGATTTTTAAACAAACTCAACATGTCTACAGCTTCAAGCACCTGCATTAGCCGTATTACAGATAAAACTTGTGATAGTGTATAAAAACAGGTGATGTGGATTTGCTTTGGATTAAAGTTGTCCTTAGAACAATCAAAACGTCACACGCGCGCAATCCCATCATAGAGAACCAAAGTCGTATCGCATCTACAAACGCACGGGGATTCTTAAAATCTCGTGCAATACATACGCTGCCATAGAAAACAAACATTGAAAATGTTAGATGACTGTATTAAGAGAGTGCATTGGAAAAGGCTCAAAATACATCTAAATATAAACTGTAAAATTATATCATGTAATACGAAGTGGTGGTGAGATACAATGGAGATATGTAAGAGCTAGTTCTCTATATTCGGGCGGCCAAAATGGCAATATCCTTCAATCCGACTCGGCATACATCATTGTCATTTACTCATTTTCCTTATCACTTAACATAAAATGTAATAAACACATACATACCTCTCTATCTCATTTCTAAATAAATAGGCGGTGACTTCTTTATCCTCCGGTATAACCTTGGTATCATAAAATATGTCGGGTACAGGCCATTCGGAGGCGACGCCTCTTCGCACATGCAGGATGATCACAAGGAGTATGATGAGATCGGTGAGTAGTCCGGTACAGCAGCCATTTGAGGGGTCCAACGGTCGTACCATGGTGAACCTGCAACGGGACCATTGGGACTGTAGTAAAGCACGTAGTATGGAGCGTACAATGGACTCATTTGGGCTTAAACGTGGGGTGTACAATGGGACCGTTATGATTGCGTTAAAGCACGTGTAATGCGTAGCATGGAGCGTACAACGGGGCCATTTGGGCATTAGCATGGGGCATAAAACGGGACTATTTAGGCTCTCACGTAGAGTGTGCAGCGGACCTGTGGGGGTTGAAGTAAAGCACGTGTACCATGTAGCATGTAGTGTGCAGCGAGACCATTTTGGCGTTAGCATGGAATGTACAACGGGACCATTTAGGCTCTCACGTAGGGTGTACAGCGGACCTGTGGGGGTTGTAGTAAAACACGTGTACAATGTAGCATGGAGCATACAGCTGGACCATTTGGGCGTTAGCATGGAATGTACAACGGGACCATTTAGGCTCTCACATAGGATGTACAGCGGACCTGTGGGGTTGTAGTAAAGCACGTGTACAATGTAGCATGGAGCGTACAGCTGGATCATTTGGGCGTTAGCATGGAATGTACAACGGGACCATTTAGGCTCTCACATAGGGTGTACAGCGGACCTGTGGGGGTTGTAGTAAAGCAAGTGTACAATGTAGCATGGAGCGTACAGCTGGACCATTTGGGCATTGGCATGGGGTATACAACGGACCTGTGGGGTTGTAGTAGAGCACGTGTATCACTTAGCGTGGCTTTTACAAGATGTATCGTTTTATAATTTAAGAAATAGAACCATCTTAAAAGTCCCCTGGATATAAAGCTGACGGATTAACACCTGTTTAGTTTATAAACCTGAAGCCTGTATGGGGTAACTTGGAATACCCTCCTGAATACCCTCGTCACTTTATCATATTTGCCAGTGTGAGTGTAAGTAATTGCAGATAGTTAAGTAAGATACATGAGAGACGATTTTTCGTGCAGCAGAAGTTTACATATCTGTGCCAGCAAGGCTTACCGTGTTTATTTCTAACCGAGTCCCAGTGTACCAGGGAAACATTTGTGTATATAATCCATTGAACACCGAGCCACGTACTCCTCCGTCTACACAAGCATATACCAGCCTCACCAACTTCCAATTTTAACATTGAAAATTGGAACTCAATCATCAGCACCACCAATTTAGAATATATTTATAAACATTGAAATCACGACTAGCTGGAATGTATTGGAGTGATCTTTGAATTCGACTTTTGGAGTGTTTAAGATGGAGGGTATAGGTATAGTCAACCAACATTCATCGTTTTGGCACTTATGTTGTTATAGCAGTTCTACTTTATAACTAATATATTGCTACACTAGATTATAAATTAAACCGCTCGTGTTTGTACACGTGTGTGGTCAACAATACAAAGCTCGTGCATTGATGGCCCGACAGCACGGCTGATATCCGAGGATGAAATCTCCGTCGTTCTCGGCACACTTCCATGTTTTATAGAGAAAATGCACCTGGTCGTTGTTTTAGAATTGGTTCATGGTTCTCTGTGCTGCATTAGAAGATTCAACATGAACAAATTGAACTTAATTTACATTAATGCAACATGAACAAAATAAACTTAATTTCCATTTCATGAAGTTCTTTAATATCCCTAATTACACCATTAAAAGTCAAAGCTCAGTAATTTGTGACTGACGTTAATCTTGCTTTTAAGTACACGGTGCATAAAACTAGTGCAGAGACTTTTGTTATTTGCTAATTGATTTCATAATTGATTTCCTATACCAAAGGAAGAACACGTCAAAAATGGTTTTATTCGTCTTTTGAATCATCGCATGACTTAAAGTCAAACAATATGGAAATAAAATATTTTCGGATATGGTTTCCCATTAAATGGAGTCTGTGCGCGTAAGCCTGACACGAGTAGTTAGGTGTCGAGAGTCTAGAGAGGAGTTATCGCTGGTCTGACACGGGATCCACATATATGTATGGCTGACGAGAGGCGGGCTACCTAATGGGGCGGGGGTTCCCTCCTTCTTATCACACATCTAAAAATAAGGCAGGTGATAGCACGAGTAGACGATAAGTAGATATTGTTCCTAAGCTTTCATTAAGATGGCAAGGAAATAGAGAAATAAAAACGTAGAGCTGATAAAAAGCTATAGACATCTAAGGCTAGACGTGTAGACAGCTTTCGTCTGTGTGGACCAGTGCCATAAGTCCCTTATATTAACTTGACCTTGTTCTTGGATTAAATAGAAATGCCGTTGGGTTAATACACTATTATTTTCCCTAAAAAATCCGAAACGACCCAGCTATGAAATGAGTTTGGTTTTCATTACATCCATCCACAAAGACCGCGCTAATGGGCACTGTAACTAGTCTCGTCAACACTTCCGAGCAACTGGTTTGGTCGTTCTGGAAATGCCTACAGAACGTATCCAATGAACACCAGTTTGCAATAATGAAAATAAGAGCGAATATATTTTTTGATATGTCTGATTTACGTGTTATAAAAACTCTACATTACGAGCGTGTTGTTGAGACGACTTATATTTGCTTTCCAGAAAACATCATCATAAAATTAGAACAATTTAGACCTTATCATACACGGTCTATATAAAAGAGAGGAGGGCGTGTCTTACTAAAACCACCATGTACTTCATACCAGTAATAAAATAGAAAAACGTCTTTTCTTGTATTCTCATCTGCATAAAAAGAAATGTCGTTAATTTAGAGCAATTTTGATAAATTTTACAATTTCTTTGCCTAACGCATCATAAACGTTAATTCTAGTGTAGTCTATGCGACTGGAAAAATATGTTTCCGAGGTGCGGTTGGTGGGAATGGTTTACCTCTGGGTTGTAAAAGAAAATTGGTAAGATGGTATTGTCAAGCATCAAGGCAATTAGCGATATCTTAATGATTTATATGTCATGATGCACATAAGGTACTCAAAAGCAAGTGAAGATATACTACGATTTAAAGATACCTCGAAACTAAAGGGAACACATAACCACGAAACTAAAGGGAATGCATGACCACGAAACTAAACGGAACGCATGATATTTCAACGATATTCCAAAACGTAAGTCAACACGAATAGATTAAAAATGAAACCCAAATTAATAGAAAAATGCAGTCACTATTATTCCAAGAAGTCCTTAAACTGAAAGGAACCCTTGAGGATTCAAACATACATGTACACTAAAACTAATGTGAATACATGGTATTTCAACACTAAAGGGAACATATTCAACGTTATTTCAACTTTAGATTAACCACAATATCACTGAAAAAGGTTTTCAACACAAATCTAATATAATGAAACTACATTTTAAAATATCACAACTGAAGCAAGGCAAAATAAATGTATGTAAGAAAAAATAGGATATATGGATGCTTAGAGATGCTAATGATAGTTCACAATATCGAAAAGCTTAATAGAACATATGCTGATTCCAAGAAAAGAAAGAGATTAAAGAAAACTCATTCAAAGATATAATGAAAAATACGGATGGCGACAAGTCAAAACATATCCGCAAAAACAAAATAAAAATAAAATTAAAATAAATAAATAAAAATATAATTATTACACTTACAACGATAACAAAGCGATCGGATGGCAACAAAGCGATCAAATGTAGACAGCGACTCAATTCTATTTGTATCGTGCCTGATTGTAAAAATGATTTTGACATATGTGAAACACAAGCAGAATCAATATGTTTAAAGACATGTAACCTGCAGTGATATCATGCAACATGCAAAGTAATTCAAATATAAGGAGAGAAAGAACACAGTTTTCTGAAAAGGCCAAACCCGGCAAATGTGAACGATAATAAATATTCATTCATAAAGTGAATTTATTTGGATATAAAATAAATCAATTGTGCAGCATGCATTCGGGATGTACTTATTTCTTTGTTGGAGTTAGTTGATAAAGTGACATATTTCTACACACTGTCAAACAAAAGGGGAGAGTATTTATAGACTACTGAAAGTTGTAATGCGTCGAGAAAAGGGGTGTCATTGTTCATATCATATGATAGTGTGACACAGGGTACATTTGCAAGCTCTCCTTTACAAAGTTAGTTTTGTACCATGAGGTCATATGTTCATTTTAACTCACTTGTCGTCACTTAATAAACAACCAATGCCACCTCTATTAAAAGTGACTGTATATATGCCATTTGTCCTGCTGACCCTAGAAATTTTATGTGATTTTTCATGTTTTGATGTCATATGGTTTAAATTTTATAAAACATTTAAGGGCCGTGTATATGCTAACGTGTTTTTCTTCTGTTCGTATAGAGATAAGCATTTTATGATGTATGTGTTTGTTGAACTTTTTCTCTTACAAGCAGGCCTACGGCTGCTCAGAACTAATAGTGAACAAAATGGCAATATCTTGCCATCATCCATCCATACTGACAACACCCGCAGATCGTCAGGTGTTTACCACAGTACAGCACACCCAATACCACATAGATCAAATAAATAACATTTTGTTCAGAATTCAAAACACAACTATAATCACAGTTAATATTATAAGAAATATAATTAAAAGTTACATTCCGTAGTTATTATTACTATGAACAGAATATAATCTCCACATCAAACCAACTAAAACGTCTTATTCATTCTTACTATAAACTCGTATATCCCATTGCTTGTTGAATTATTTTGTAAACATATTTCAATATCAGATCCAATTACTTCGAGAAAAACATTATCTTATGTAATAAAATAGAATACACCAAATGCTTTATATATATTCAATATCCCTTGCTATTACATTTACTTCCTAAAATTGTTACAAATACGACAATACAAAACCCAAATGAGCGGAGGATCACCACTGGGAAATATATCAATAGTAAGATTTGAGAAGTATAGAAGTAAATTGTGATAAACTGTGTTACCTGCTACTCCTATGAATTGCATTGGACATGGAACTCAAAACCGGTTACTTTAGATCCAGGGTGTTGCTTCTCCTTTAAAACAGCACATATGGACTTATCCTTGATATGGTTCCTTTCTAAA